CCTCTAACCACAGATCCTTCTCTTTCCCCTATTTGACTACTCAAGAGTTCCAGCCACGCTGTGTCCTTGTGGTTTTTCAATGCACCAAGCTTGCTACTCCCTTTGCACCTGCTATGCATTTTTCCCTGGGAGGGTTCTTCCTCCTGGTATCCTCGCTGCTGGCTACATTATTTCCTTCAGGTGTGGCTCAGAGAGGGCTAAGCCAATCTGCCTCTACAAGACAGAAACTCTCCCTCCCCCTCCCCTGCATTCTATGCCCCTCACATATGCTTTGTCCCTCTGTTAGATGCTCTGTTCCATGGGACATGAGATTTATATTTCTTGTTTATTCCTTTACCCTAGACGCTTGGAAAATTAATTAGAAGTCTCTTAGATTGTGGACTTTGCATTGTTTAATTACGGTATCAGCAAAATCGCAGACTGACTTCTGATTCCAGTGTTTTCTTTGTCACTTCAGTGCCATGACTCTCACTTTCTTAAGTTCTTCTCACATCTTCCCCCTCCCTTTCCTTTCCCTTCACTTTTTGTGTGTGATTCCTTGATCAGCTGAAGTATGCCTTGAGTTGTTTTTCCAAAAGGAATGCACGGGCATCAAATTGTATGAGACCTTGCATATATGAGGGTTGCAACTTCATTTTGGTTGTTATTTGCGTGGTCTCTACATTGTGCAGTTTTTATTTTGAAAATGTCACCAGGACTCACTTTTTTTTCATTTATCTGTTTTTTTCTAATTATATTGACTGAGACACTTATGTGTCAGGTACAAACCTAGACTACATTTCAGTATTTTTTTTTCAGTTAATCTAATTTGCAATAAGCCAATTTTGAGCTGTATATCTTGAGTATTTCTTAGCTCTGGAAAGGTCACTTCACTTTTTTTTTTTTAATCTTTCCTTCCGTCTTGTGTGCTGTAATCTATTTATTGGTAAAACCAGTGATGCATATATTAGTTCTTTACTATCACTCTTTCATCTTCCATTGTTTGTGTTTTTTGCTTTCCCATTTGTATTCTGAAAGTGAGTATTCCCCAGCAGGTTGTCTGTACTGCTTATTAAATATGTTCCAGTGTTTCTATTATACTCTGATGATAACTGTATTCTGTTTTATACATTTATTATTTTTATTTATGTATTATTTCCTATGACTATTCATTATGATTTTAAATTTTTTTAATATTTTTAGTTTTTTTAAGGGAAAGAGTTTACTGGGGGAAACACGAGGAAGAAAAGAGGGAGAAGGAGAGCAGAAGAGAGACAGAGATAGAAACAGAGGTCAGGAGACAGAGAGGAAGAGAGAGAGCTCATTATGATTTTTTGATTGTGGTTACTCGTTCCATGCCTAGAAGGCGTGTCCCCACCCATTGCTTGTCACTTGAAGTACCGCCCCTCTGGAGCTGTGTGCATCTCTGTCTCATAAACTCTGATCATGGGACATGATTCAGCCAGTGGAATGTACTCCAAATGCCAAATCCCACCAGAAACTAAAATTATATTTGTATATGTTCCAAAATTGATTTTTCATGTTTCTTCTTCTATGTGCTCACTCCCTTCCTTATTTTTATTTTTTAAAAATTTATTTATTTATTTGAGAGGCAGAGTTGCAGAGAGAGAGAGGAAGAGAAAGACAGGTCTTTCATCCGCTGGTTCACTCCCCAAATGGCCACAACAGCTGGAGCTGGGCCTTTCTAAAGCCAGGAGCCAGGAGCTTCTTCTGGGTCTCCCACGTGGGTGCAGGGGCCCAAGGACTTGGGCCGTCTTCCACTGCTATCCCAGGCACATTAGTAGGGAGCTGGATTAAAAGTGGAGCAGCCGGGATTCAAGTCAGTGCCTATGTGGGATGCTAGCATTGGAGGAGCAGTTTTACCCACTGCACCACAGCGCTGGTCCTTGCATCTCTCTTTGACAGTGAATATTCCTTGTGGATTTTGATCTCATTGAGAAAATTCCTAATTTGTAAGGTCCTAATAATTTTTTTTTCTCTTTTGAGTGTTAATTTTGGTTTCATTGAAACATATTACTCACTAGCTAGCATTTTAATCTGGAATTTAATTGAACCATTTTCTACAATAATTGCAACAGCACATGATTGAATTTCTTCCACTCCCTTTCTAAGAATGATTTTTCCAACACAGCGGAGTCAGAGCTGCTGAAAGGACCCTCAGTTCCCACTTTGCCTCAGCTCCTCGTGCTGTTGTCCTGTTCTAGTGGGGCCAGAGCACTGGCAGTGACATGCTGGCTGGTGGTTGGAGCCCTTTTCTCTGCACTGCTTTGAGATGTCGGCAGTGCCAAGTGAGGCTCCTACCTCTGACTTCTTCCAATGTGCTTTTGAAGGTCGGGCCTTGGGAAGATGCCCATCCACATTCCTGCTTCATCATCTGATCTTTCTACTACATTTGTCTGCTCAAGTCACCTTGGAAGTGACTTGAGCAGATGACCCGCAGGCTCTGATGGTATCTCTTCATCTCTAATGTGGGAGTATGCTATCCATGTGTTTTGGCTAATAGAAAAAGGCATAGACAAAATTAAATATGATGCTTGGAAAAGATCTGGCAAGAAATTGGGTGCTCCGTGTGGCTGGTGCTGCTATTATGTCTCTGTCCAAATAATTAATGCAATCCAGTCTAGTTATCATGGTTCACTGCAGAATGAATGAAGAATGGTACAGGCCAGGGTGTACTGTTCATGGTAATCCCTTGCTCCTGCAACTGCATTTGTCTGTCCCATAATTAATTCTTTATGTGACTTTTGGAAATTTTCTTTCCTTTTCCATGTCCCTATTTCCTATCTGTAAAATAAGGGCACTGAACTATATCTGGGTAGCAACTGGACTTAATCTCATGTGTCAGCTCCATTTGATCAATAGTGAGTACCTGTGAAACAGATTTAAAAGGATACTGAGGCTTTGTCTGGGCTCAGCAGACAGGGTTGCCACGATCTGTTAGCAACGTCTGCAGTACATGAGGAAGCTGGTGGCAGCTGTTCTGAAACTTGCCAGGCCTAGGGTGGATGCTGTTCAAGGCCCGTCCCTGCTCCCAGATACCTGATTCTTTGGGTCTTGTCGATGAGCCGGTGTGGCTGACTTCCAAATGAATGCTCAGTGTCACTGCAGTGAGAGGTCAGTGTGGACGGTTCAGCCGAGAATCTAAAAGGGGAGTGGTAGGTAATGAAATCGGTTCTCTTAATGAGACAGGAGTATCTTTGAGACCTCACTGCAAGTTGAATGTAAAAAAATACAGCATTTTAATGTCGAGGGCAAGCAGGATGACGCCCTGCAGTTGTGTGTGTAAACCACAGACAGCTCCACAATGCTGTGTGGGCTCAGGGTATCACTTTCTGGTAGGTTTCCATCAGTAGCGTTGAACAGTGGGTACAATGATCGGTAACTGGCAGCAATAATTTCCTGATCCTTGGAGGTTTCTAGCAGTTGCTTTAATTAGATGAATGTGCTGTGGGTAGCTTATTTGACAAATTGATTTAGCCACGTCCTTTGATATTGAGGATCTAAGATGATCGTGTCTTGTTTCAGGGATATTTGGTTAACTTGAGTAATGAGATTTAATTTTTACGAACCTTCCAGAAGAAAGTTGTGTGTGAATCAGTTTTTAGTCTTCCATTATTGTAAGGAAAATTAGAACACTCTGTTGTCCACTGGCATTCTATAATCTGAAACACAAGACTCTTGCTGCAAGGGTCCAGGGTATTGCCTTAATTGTAAAAGCTTCCAGATACGAATTTGATGCTAGACCTTCTTTATGCAAAATCGCCACGGTCTTGTACACTTTCATACCCTCTCTCTCTGCCTCACTGCAGATACCAACTGTATGGGAATTTGTGATCTCTCAGAGATTGCCCGTCTTTGCCCCCATTATGTTACACTGAACACGATGAAAAGTCTCTGTTTTAGATGCTTTCTTCAGAAATAAGCAACACTAGCATGATTTTTGGCCACTACATGCCCTCAGCATGGCTCTGTGACAGAGGGACATTTTTACAGGGGAATCTGTGAATATCGTGGCAGAAAACAAACAGCTGAAAATAATCTGTGAGGCGTTTGCAAATTACCCCTCATGAGCTGTCGTGGTTGTGAAAGATAATTTGTGGTTCTTGCAGAATAGCCGGCAAATTGAGTCTTTCATCTGCAATGTTTTTTGCACTTACAACATTTCATTTCTTATATTAACAAATGATAACTCTGTGTTTGTTAATCTAAACAATTTGATTTATACTTTTTTCTGCGCCGAGAAACTGTTGACGTTTGAGGAGAAGTAATTATTTTCATTGCCAGTTGCTGTTTGTGGTGACTGTAGGCAAAAGTTAGAAATCTGAATACATGCACGCATCATTTTAATCATTTTCCTCAAAACCTACCCATCAAGTTGGAAGTGTGGTCACCGGGCTTATTATCCATACTTAGGAATCTTCCAGGGTATGGCTGTATACGTGCAAGGATGTTGGTCAGGTTCAGGGTTTCCTGCCATGTGCTGGAAGCTGTCTCGTGTCACAGAGGGCAGGGGAAGGGTTGACCTGCAGGGTCACCAACCTGTGGCATGGCACAGTGCATTTTGCAGTCTTCAATTACTGCAGTAGGAAGCATGCATTTTTGGCCTCGGGACTTCCCAGCTCACATAACACCTGTTCAAGCATCTCACAGGGTGGGTGCCAGGATTACATGAAGAATGCTTGTGAAAATACCTCGCACCACACCTGGGGGGGGGGCATTGCAAGCTCTGGGAACATTGGTGACGTTGGGACTATGTATAAAAAGGTCTTCTCAGTTTCTTTTCTCCTATTGCTTTCTTGGACAAGGATTCAGTCCAAATCAATGGAAAGAAAGGGGTTCTGTTGTTTGTTTTTTCACTTGCAACAAATTTACTAACGTCTTAAGAGCAGGATACTCCATCTTGCCCGCTGAAGCATCCCGCATGTCAGAAAAGAAAGGGGAGGGTGGCAGGGCCTGGGACAAAGCCAGTGAAGCAGGATGTTTTCCCTGGGGTCCTTTTTTGAGCTATTCTTAATGTATCCAGGTTTATTTTAACATTTAGCAACGTGCCTCACCATCCAAGTTGGAACTTTTTCCCCTTGAAAAATCCCCTAGCACAATTGTTACTCCAAAAAGATGGCACGGCTTTTGCCTTTGGGCATGTGGGGCCTGTGTTTGTTAGGCAGTACTGTAGGCAGGTGTACATTGCCTCTGTGTTGATTACAGAGGCATCGATGTGAGTTGTGCACCAGAGGGTGTGGCAGGCTCCACTGGTTCCCAGTGGCCTCCTTATACTTGGGTATGGCCTGGACTGCATGTGTGAACCTTCCATTCACATCCCAGTTAGGCACTGGACTCTTAGTTAGTATCCAGACCCATTTTCATGTGGCCTTAAGGAATGAGTGTAGAGCCAGTTCTCTGAATGGCAAATGTTTTTTATCCTTTGAACCAATTCCAATTGATTAGTTCTGGTTGCCTACAGTGCTGTCTTAAGAAGGCATCTGTGGTACATGGGGACTCAGCAAAGAGGAGTGCTGGGATTGATTAGTGATGTCTGTCATGGCCTGGGGAGGGAAGCAGCTGGCCCTGTATTTGCCATTCTCTGCTTTTACCCTGTCCCTAACTTCTCTGTGCTTTCCTTTTGAGTAAAATTATTTCGGTACAAACAAGTGACTGAAATCAGTATGAGCTGAGGCTTCATGAGAGAGAACAGGTAGATTCCACTTTAAGAAGACCTAGCACAGAAAATGCAAATTTACAAAATGTATAAATCTGGAGCCAATTATTTCCATTACAGAAAGATTCCATGAAAGTTTCCTTTAAATAGCGAGCTCCCCTACTGCATTAAAATGATGATTCAATTTACAAAAATTCACTTTGCATGCAACTCCTCAGGACCATGTCTGTGGAGGAAGGCAAGCCACACCTGATTTTTTTAAAACGTGGCTTAAATAATGTTCAGGATGGCTGCTGCCACATATCTTGAGTCTCTTGGTAATTCCCTCTCTCTTCTGACTTCCTTCTTACTTCCTACCCCAGAGTGTTGAGTAGGCAATCTGGGTGGTGGTCAGCAGCTGTCGGCTTCCTCCCCAACACGGCTGCATTTCATTAGTGGGTAAGCACTGTTGTTTACGTGTGGGTGTGGTTGCACACGTCCATACACTCTGTGCTGTGTGTGTGTAGACAGAGCTACACAAAAGGCCTTTGCTCACTCGCAACCTGAATTTGTCCCTGCTATGAAAGCTCTCTGGGAGGATATGCCCTTAATTCCCCGCGCTCTGCATGTTTGTTTATATGCTATTCACCTTTGCATCAGGAAACTTCCCCAGATCCTGGGCCTGAGACCCATTATGCAGACGTGGAACCATCCTCTTCCTCTACAGCCTAGAAAGCCCCAAATGGTTTTCTGATTTAGAAAATTAAATATAAGCTGACTCTTGTGGCAAACTCTGAAATTCCCAACCGACAGACACTCCCATTAAATATGTAACATACACAGCATCTGAAAGTATCACTGATCTAGCATGAACTTGAATTATACAGGCATTTGGTGCCCCTTGGGTAGGATCACCAGTCTCTTCCCAGGCGCTCAAAATCGGGCAGTTTTCCAATGGACTGTAAACCTCCCAGGAATGCCAACCAGCATGTGCATTTGAATTTTTTTCTTGTTCTGTAAAAGCAACTTAATCCAGGGAAGAGTACCTGAGAGAGAGATTTTTCCTTTCCCTGTACATGGCCTTCCCCCACATAGAATCATTGTGATAACTCCTCAGGCACAGAGTGCAAATGTCATCTCTATTCTGTCTCTGGTGTTTAACAAACCACACCATCAATTTCTTCCCAGAAATATATTTTTATGGACACATTTTTTTTTTTGGAAAAAGCAAAATGAGGCAGTGACAATGAACCCAGGAGCCCTGTTCAGACACTTTCTCCTGGCCTATGTGGTCACCATCAGTGCTATGTGGGATGGATGCTGTCAAGCAGGTGAGCTGTCAAGCAGCTCTTTCCCTGCCGTCTTCCCAGGCTCATTGGATTGAGCCGCGGACTTCCCGTGATACTGAGCAGTAATAGCCGCGTAGGTGCAGCCGTAGACAGCAGCCGCCAGCATCATGAGACACACGATGCCACACACAACCCCCGTGATCACGATGGTGGCGATGGCGTGACGCAGGTTGGCCGGCCTTGGCTTGGGTTTGAGCTCACACTCAGAGCTGTGGATCTCGGTGGGCGTCAGGGCCACCCCGTGGGCAGAGCCGGGCTGCTGGGCCTGTGAGGACACAGGGTCAGGAGAAGGCGGCGGGCATGGCCGGTACAGCTCATGAGGGATCGTAAGGAGTTTCTCTCCTTTCCAGGGGTCGGGTGACCCACAAACGATGCCATCTGTTATTCCTCCTTGAGAAGACAAAAGCAAGGGATGACAACAGAGCCTCAATGCAACTGAGTTCCAGAATCCTCAGCCTGCAAAAACTTAGGCAGATGGAATTTATAAAGTACCTTTTCCCCCGACTTGAGTCAAAGAATTTAACAACCATATTTTATGATTTTAGGATTTCTAAATTGGCTAAATGCTGAAAATGCCACACACTAAATTGGCAATTACTTCTGACCAAGAATTCATTAGAAGCCAAGTTACCTTTAGGTCGTAGAAATGCGGAGGGGGAACAATGCAGAAGCTGGGGGCCAACACCAAGGGTTCTGTTGCCCACAGCGTTCCTGCCGCTCCCTCCCCTAATGAGCCCCACCAGACAAGAAATCTTTTGTACCAGATTCCCCTTGGAAACCTAAGGCAAACACAAAACAAATGTCCATTGTTGTGATGTTATGTGTTAATTACAAAGACCTTGTGTGTCTGCCGACACTGTTCGGTGATGGGGAGACTGCAATGATGCTGGGAGTATTTTGTGTTTCTGAGGACTTGACGATACTGTGTACTGAGCTCACGGGATTAAGTGTAATTATCGTGTCTCCTCAGGCCTCAAAACATTTACTACTTTGCGTACTGAATTTCCAGCGAGTTAATAAACCCAGTTTCCATTCTCTGAAGGCAGCTGACTTCCTCAGGTGTGCAGACTGCTATTGTTTAGCAGCTATTTGGGTGGGTAATTCTTTTCTGAAAAAGAGCACTGGTCTAACCTAGCTCACTTTGGCCAATAGACTTGCTATTTGACCTTGGAAAATGTCGGACAAAATTTTCTGCAAAGAAAACATCCCATCTGTACCTCTCTTGAGAGTGTACAAGGCACTGTTAACTAAATCCTCACACTCTGCTCAAATGGATGATTCTTGTCCAGACTCACAGAGGTCATGAGTGAATGAATCAATACCCAAATTCAATCCCTTCTTTCCCACTATACCCACTGATTCTCTCTGCTCCTGCCTCCTCTCTGGGGGTTCCTGAAGGCAGAGCAACCCCATAAGGCCCTCTGGGCAGGACTCCTCCATGACCTGTGCCTTAATTCTCCCAGGATAGCTTTGAAGACTAGCACTCCTCTTAGCAAAGTTAGATTACAGATTCTGAGTGTCCATGTAGGTGAATTATCAAATTATGCAAGAAAGACGCATATGGAGGTCATTCCTTCAATATTACAAGCACCTGCTATGGCACAGTCCTTCAGAGATTGGAGAATGGTTTTACATCCATTCTATCTAACCCTTAGAAGACAAGTACAAGGGAAATTCCATGGCCCAGACACACTGGGGGTAGTGGCAGTGGGAAAATTCAACCCCACCCTGCTTGCTTCCGCTGTTTAAAACTGAATCACCCACCAGCAGTCTCTTGGGCCCCTCCAGGCTTCTTCTATTCTTCCCACCTCTAAAGCAAAAAGGTCAAAGAGGACTCTCCCACCCTCTTTCCCAAGCCACTGATTTTTATTGAAGGCAGAGTTACAGGGCAACTGCTCCCAGATGAGCCCAAGGTGCCAGTGAACTGTGCTGGGATTAAGGATGCTTGCCTCATGAACCATTTCATTCCCCTGCACCTGGCCATCAGAGCCTCTGCCAGGGAATTTGTTATAAGGCAACAGCCAGAGACAGAATGAGGCACAGGGCTTTAAGAAGTAGTGAGGCTATTTAATCCAAGATTCCAGCAGGGGAAGACAGCCACTTTTCATGGGATGGGCAGTTCCATCAACTATAAGCTGATTTATAGTTGGACTCGGATGGTTTACCCAGTCATTCCAGCATTAAGTACCTTTCTCCAGCACAAAGCTTTCTGTTAATGTTAGAGTGGGATCCATAGCCTCAGACCCATAGCCAAGGAAATACACAGATTGGGGCTTTGAGCATGTCTGGAAGGCAGGGACTCTGACTGCCCAAGGCCCTGTGGCCCCAGCCAGGATTCACCTCCTACTCCGCTAACACCATCTCCTGAGCCATAACCCCAGCTGCAGGGCTCTGCTGCCTTTGGGATTCATGTGGGCTGGCAGTATGGGAAACCCCAGCTTGCCAAGTGCTTAGTGTCCTCCCCCCACCCCCCCGTGACCACTAGGAGCTCTTAATCTCTGCTTGGAAGAAACTGGATTGGAATCTTGAGTGTGCACATTACTTAGTTGTGCACCCCTGAGAAAGTTCCTTAACCATACTCATGCCTCTGCTTGCTTTTCTGGAAAGTGGGAGGGGAGGGTAAAATGGAATTCACTTCCCAAAACTGCTCTGAGGACTTAGATAAAGCATGTCAAGTATTGAGTACAATACCTAGCCCAGAATAAACATTTAATAACGTTAGCTATGAACATGAAGATGATTCATTTGCCTATGAATAGAGACGAAGGGGTAATCAGTATAAAATCTACGAGCGTGTTTAAATTGGAGATGTGATTATATATTCACCAAAGCACATTTTTGCCTTTAGGGCCACAACAAGACTAAATTTTCCCACTCTTTGTGGTCACTTTGGGGCTGCATGATTGAGTTCCTGCCCGTGGAACCAATGAATGCCACAAAACTTCCAGTGTAAACCCACATGCTCTTTAGTCCCCTCTGGTGGTGACCTTAGAAGCCACGTGATGCAGCCGGCAGTGTCAGGGACTAGGAGGGGCTTAGGATCCTGAGTGATGGCAGGGAACACAGACCCTGCTCCCAATTCTCCAGGACTCTGACTTGAGTGATGAGCAGATCTCTATTGGAGCCTGTCCACCAATACCTTTAGTGTTTGCTTTTGTCTGTGTGTCTTCTTTTAAAGAGGTCTTCATTAACATGTTCTCTTATTTTACCTGCCATCATCTCGTGATTAGCATCTATGTGGGTTGATGTCAGTTATTTTGGGACATCCAGGTCTTGCTACCCAAATCAGTTTCACCTTCCTTTGAAGTCAGGCCCTTCTCAGTGCTGGCACAGCTCTGCCATGAGGGCATGTTGAGCTGCATCCTGGACTCTCAGAACTGGAAGGGCCCCAGGAACCCCGAGACTTAATGTTGTCTGTTTTCATCTGGTGACACTGAGCACAGATGAAGGGAATTAAACTTGCCCAGGAACCACTAGCAAGTTTGTGGCAGTGCAAGGAAGATTTCTTCCTAGTCCCTGTTGCTTCTGGTATCCAAGGCCTGGAAGCTATTATTATTTTAATCTTCTTTTGTGGAAACTCTCTCTGTATGCTTATGATTCAACCCAGAGCACAGTAGCTCAAGCCACTTCATCTCCAGATGCAAACCGTTTTATTGGCAGTGTTCTATAAGAAAGATATCACCATGTTATATGGCTCCTGTTGTAGGTTAGCAAAGACATTGGCTGACTGGTGATCAGCCCTCCCATACCCAACTGCATCCAAAGGGCCAACCAAATGCAGATTGAACATGTGCAGACTCTTGTTATTCACTAAACAACATGACAACTATTTATATAGCACTTGTGTCAGGTAGTATAAGTAATCCAATAGTGATTTAAAGTTTACAGGAAGGTGTATGTAGGTTGTATGGAAATTCAGCAACGTTTCATATAATGGACTTGAATATCCACAGATTTTGGTATCACAGTGTCCTAGATCCAATTCCTCAAGGATACCAAGGTGAGAAGATTTCTTAATTCAATTCAATATTACATCATTTAGCCCATGCTGTACACGAACTCTACAGCCATCCAGATTCTGTGACTCCATAACTCACCTCTTCCTGAGCAGCAGGCTGAAATATAGAGGGTCTGGTCAGGAGCTCCCCTTGGGGATATCATGGGCACCTCACATTGGCCATGTCCCCAACTGAACTCAGGCTGACTCCTCCCCACCACCCACACTCAGTCTCCCACTCCCCAGTCTGCTCCTTTATAGCTAGTGGCATCCCTGTTTATCTGGTTACCCCTGCAGGACAAAATAAGATCAAATTTCCCAGAATCACCTTCCTTTCTTTATCGCCCACTCCAAACCATTAACAATTTCTTTAATTTTTAATTCTTAGAATATATTGAATGTCAGAGGGAGACAGAGATCTCCCAACCACTAGTTCAGTCCTCAGATGCCCAACATAATGATCTGGGCCAGGCCAAAGCAGGAAGCGGGGAACTTCATCCGCGTCTCCCACCTGGGTGGAAGGGACCCAGCTGTTTGAACCATCCCTGCCTCCCAGAGTGCTCATTAGCAGGAAGCTGGAATTGGAAGCTGAGCCAGGACTCGAATCCCAGCACTCTGATGGGATGCTGGGTCCCCAAGTACCTTCTTAACCACTGCACTAAACATCTGCCCCCTCATTAGCAATTTCTATCAGTTGAATATTATAACCACCTCCCAAAGGTAGTCGCTTGTCACCACCTGATTCTAGCCATCATTGGCTGACAGAAATCACCTCCTCCCTTGCCTCTGTGGTCCATCCGCAGCCTTTTTCTACCCCCACAGCAGTCACCAGAGTGACCTCTGAAATTGTAATCAGATCCTAGTGTTCCCCTGCCTACAGCTCTACAAGAGCGTCTCTTGAGAAAGTGCAGACATCTGCGCCTGCCCCGCACCTTCCTGCCCGACCAGCACTCTCTCACTGCCTTCCCCTGTCCTACCCGCTCTGCTCCCTGCTTTGCTCTCTCAGCCAATCCAAGCCTCCTGCATCAGTGGCTTTTGGCCTTGCTGACCCTTCCTCTGGCTATCTCCTGGCTCTTCCTCCTCCTTGTCTGGGTCTGCTCAGTCATGTCACCCCTTGGAGAGGCTGTCACAATCCATCATTCTCTCCTCCACCCTCGCCCCACCTTGTCTTTTAGCACAAACTGCCACTAGAGCATGAATCTTTATTCTGTCTCTGGCACCAGAATGTGAACTTACCATGGGGGTAAGGATTCTCTTGTTCACTGCCCTTTTTTCAGTGTGGGGCACATAAAGGCTCTCTACATGGCAGTGAATGAATGATGCTGAGAGAGAGGAGGGGAGAAGCACCATGAGGCACGGGAAAGAGTGTAGGGCCAAGACCCCAAAGCTATGCATTTGTTCTCCTCTTTGCTACTGCTCTGTGATCTTGGGCAAGAACCTCTCTGTCCCTCTGTTTCCTGTTGATAACAAGGGTCGGCAAACTTTTATCTAAGGGGCTAGCTAGTAAATATTTGTAAATATTGCCATAGTCTCGGTCACAGCTACTCAACTCTGTACAGTATGAGCAGCCATTCATCATGTAATGAATAGGCATGGCTGTGTTCCAATAAAACTTTATTTACAGGTGCAGAAATTAGGCTGGATTTGACTATTGTGCTCTAGTTTCCTAACTTCTGAATAATTTCCAGAGCCTCTCCTCTTTGATAACCCAGGATCTCTTGCTTTGCTTTTAGCATTTGGTTAAATAAATGGTAGCTTTAGAGAGAGGTTCCGTTGCACCTGATTTTAGCAACAGTGGTATTTGCCAAAGCAGAAGGGGTAATGGTAGGGAAGACTTATAGCTGTCAAATGTCTAGGAGCAGAAAAATAGCCCAAGGAATGATAGCCATGTCCCCAGCTCGATCAGACTTGGAAGTCAGAGTTTGGTGATAGTCAGAGGTTGAGCACTTTCTCGGGTGACAGTTGGCCTTCCTCCTTCCTAAATAACTTTCATGCTGTGGTAGTCACCAAGTGGACAGTTACCTCCATGCCCCCTATTAGTAGATGAATTTAAACACCTGTAATGGCTCACTTGCCTCTTTTCCTGTACCATGAAATGAGATTCAATGCGAAAACACTGAAATCAGCCCCCTGCACACTCCTCCACAATTCTCCTAATGCAGAGAACAGATGAAGTTCATCCTAGGCTGCTAACACACAGAAGGAGGTTTCCAAATAGACACGACTGACCTTTATAGATAAATTTCTCCAGCCATAGCTTAAGCCCAAGCAGGCTGCAATTGCATTTCCAGAGGTTGTCCTTGAGATACAAAAGCTTCACACGGGGCATGGACTCCAGGAGTGCTCGATCAAGATGCTGAAGCCGGTTTTGTCGAACTGCAAATGTGGTTAAGTTCTCCCAAGTTTCAGCCAAGGATGTGGGAAGGTGGCTTATGTAGTTTGACGACAAATCGAGCTCCCTCAGCTGTGGAAGGGAATGGCTAAGTGTGCTGTCCAGGGAAAGCAGGGAGTTATGGGTTAGGTTTAAAACCTCCAAGTGCTGAAGTCCATGGAAAGCTCCAGGGGCCAGATTTGAAAGAGAATTGTTGGCCAAGTTTAAGGTCATGAGCTGGGGCACTGACCTAAATGCAAAAGCAGGAAGTTGGTGTATCTGGTTATCTTGTAAGTGCAGCGTTAGAGTCTGAGGAGGCAAATCAGAAGGGACTTCTGCCAGACGCTGTCGGCTGCAGTCTACAAAACGTGATGAGTGACAGTGGCACTTCTCCGGGCAGCCACATGCCCCTGGGAGCAGGCAAACCAGGCTCAAAAGCAGGAACAGCTCACCTAGGACAGACAGACAGCAAGTGGCATTAGAACTAGTGCTCAAGGAGTGGGTCAGTATTTTTCTCCCCTTTGAATCCACAGGTAATGTGACACTTGAGATAGACGACACCTTCTGTACTCTGGAAGACATTGTAGCTTTCACCTTCTTCATTGGAGTTGGGCCAGACTGAGGCCACTCCTAGGATCAGTCACTCTTACACACTGTGTGTGGACTCTTGTTGGAAGCATGGGAAGAGATTGTTTCCCAGTGCCTCAGTAATCAGAAGACGGAAGCCTCAGAAAATTACATAGACAGGTAGAAAAAGTCCTGGGTGGGGAGGGGCTTATGCCCTTTGTAGGGTACAGATTTATTTTGGTCCAGATATGACAAATGATAGAGGGCTTTAGATATTCTGAAGAATGCTTCAGAGCAGTGCTGTCCAGTAGAACATTCTGGAAAGATGGAAAGTTCTATATATATGGTCCACCAGGGAGTCACTGGCCACATGTGGCTGCTGAGCTCCTGACATGGTACTGAATTTTCGTTTGTCCTTAACTTTAGAAAGTTTAAATGGCCACATGTGGCTGGCGGTCACCGTATTGGATAGGGCAGGTCTGCAGCTTGTTTACATCTGCAGGTGTAATTCCATAAATGATCATCTCTGATCCCTGTCTATGCATGAGGTTTTAAAAATACAGAAAACCATCAGGAAGCATATGTGAAACACCCCCATTCCTAGAACAGTTCTGTTAGTTGCTTGTGGATTATAACACTTCCTGCGTCATTTTTCTTTTCACTCAGAGAGGTGACACAAGAGAAAGGCAATGGAGTACCCTCTGATTAGTGCCCGTGTCCTGCTTCCCTCCATGAATCCCTCTCCAGACATGTTGAAAATAACTGTTAATGGGCCAGCACCGTGGCTCACTTGGTTAATCCTCTGCCTGCGGCGCTGGCATCCCATATGGGTGCTGGGTTCTAGTCCTGGTTGTGCCTCTTCCAGTACAGCTCTCTGCTGTGGGCCGGGAAGGCAGTGGAGGATGGCCCAGGTACTTGGGTCCTGCACCCACAAGGGAGACCAGGAGGAGGTAACTGGCTCCTGGCTTCAGATCAGTGTAGCGCCGGCCGTAGTGGCCATTTGGGGAGTGAACCAACGGAAGGAAGACCTTTCTCTTTGTCTCTCTCTCTCACTGTCTATAACTCTACCTGTCAAACAAAGAAAAGAAAAGAAAAGAAAAGAAAAGAAAAGAAAAGAAAAGAAAAGAAAAGAAAAGAAAAGAAAAAAAAAGAACTGTTAAGAACAATAGCAGTGGCCGGCACCGCAGCTCCTCCACCTGTGGCACTGGCACTCCGGGTTCTAGTCCTGGTCGGGGTGCCAGATTCTGTCCCGGTTGCTCCTCTTCCAGTCCAGCTCTCTGCTGTGGCCTGGGAGGGCAGTGGAGGATAGCCAAAGTGCTTGGGCCCTGCGCCCCATGGGAGACCAGGAGGAGGTAACTGGCTCCTGGCTTCAGATCAGTGTAGCGCCGGCCGTAGTGGCCATTTGGGGAGTGAACCAACGGAAGGAAGACCTTTCTCTTTGTCTCTCTCTCTCACTGTCTATAACTCTACCTGTCAAACAAAGAAAAGAAAAGAAAAGAAAAGAACTGTTAAGAACAATAGCAGTGGCCGGCACCGCAGCTCCTCCACCTGTGGCACTGGCACTCCGGGTTCTAGTCCTGGTCGGGGTGCCAGATTCTGTCCCGGTTGCTCCTCTTCCAGTCCAGCTCTCTGCTGTGGCCTGGGAGGGCAGTGGAGGATAGCCAAAGTGCTTGGGCCCTGCGCCCCATGGGAGACCAGGAGGAAGTACCTGGCTCGTGGCTTTGGATCGGCGCAGCACGCCGGCCGTAGCGGCCATTTTGGGGGTGAACCAACGGAAGGAAGACCTTTCTCTTTGTTTCTTTCTCTCACTGTCTAACTCTGCCTGTCAAAAAAAATAAATAAATAAAAAATAAAAAGGCACGTGAATATCACCATCATTGCTTCTCATTCTGCAGCTTGTTTTATCCACTCAACATTAATCTATCTGCATGGATACAGAGAAAGTGAATGCATGTCTTTTAGCTGCTACAGCGTATTCCACAGTGAGGCCATGTTCAAGCTGGTGTTTATCCAGCCCTTCCCCCAGGAACATTTGGACTGAGCAGGTTTTTCTTCCTCTCAAGCCCTGCTGTACAGTGCTGTGGGCTATGCAGAGGCCTGCTAGAGGGGCTTTCCACTCAGCCCTTGTGGAGCTCCGAGGGGATGGTGAGTGGTGAGTTCATATGTTCTAGATGCTGCTAGAGTGTTCTCCAAGGTGACAATGTCATTCCCTCCTGTTTTCCTAAGACTTGGATTTCAAAAGGTGGCAAACATCTGTCAAGGGCATTGTGTTAATTGGTAGAGGAATTCATAAGGCCACAGAATAACATTCAGATCTCAACAGTTACCTACTGTATTGAAACCTCTTACAAGGGGGGGGGGGAGAGAAAGAGAGAGAAAGAATTGTAGAGGTTGGTTGTTGAGAGAGAGAGAGAGAATTGTAGAAGTTGGTTGTTGAGAGACAGAGAATTGTAGAGGTTGGTTGTTTATGGCCTTCACTAGGGCAGATCTTGGGAGAGCCTTCTGAAGGAGATTCTGCTCAGTTTAATTGAGTTCAAGGGATGCGGAATGCCAGTCCTCCTCCCATTTTGAAAATATCAAAGAGTATACCCCTGTTTTCCTCTTTGTCATTTTGCAGATGATCTAAATGGCTTGTGTGAAAGCTAAAATGTCCTCCTATCCGAAGTGAACCAATACCCGTCCCTACACCTGAGGGCCTTGTAGGACATCAGTTCTTAGACCAGAGAACACGCCTTGCCCAGAACCCAGTCATATTCACGAAAGGCTTGTCTTTCTGAGATCAGAGTCCGTTTGCTCCTTCTCTCTTTGGCTCCACCCCTACCCCAAAGGAAATAAGAATTTCAATGCCACGCAACATGTTGTCTATGAAATGGCCCATGACACCCAGATGACGTACACACATCACGACTGCATACCTCATCTCAGCCCCTTCCTGTGCACCCAGCGAGGCACAGACACCAATCTCTCCAGAGAGCTTCTTTGTTTAAACATCTGTCCAAGCTTTTTGGGAAAAATCACCCAACAATAGACTTCCCGTGGGCGCCTGTGTGCAGGGGCCCATCCCTGTCTCAAGGCACTCCTATCCTGACTCACCTTTCATGGCTGAGTCTCCACAGATGTCCCCACTGATCACGGAGCCCGCCCTGATTAATCTGCCGATCAGCAAACACAGGACATGGCAAAGTCAGAGTCCGTCTTTCATTCGCGTTTTCTGAATCCTCGCGCTTTTCTTCAATGCACCGAACAGTTGTCTCTTTCAGGAGACTGCTTATTTAAGCAGCCCTTCCCTTGTCTCCATCTGGCCGGGCTGGTTTTCCATAAGAGGATCTTTAAATAGTGCCCCGTCTTCTTTCTTCAAGTCTTGGCCTCCCCAAAATCATCCCTGCCTTTCCCATTGAGACGACGAACCACATAAAGGGTGTTTGTCAAAGCTCGGGGAACAGCTGTAGCATTCAAACATGACCCCGATGGCTCAGGCTTTTTGATTATTTAATCTGCTTGAAGTCCGGGGCACCAAAATAAAACAGCCTTCTTAATCCGGTCGTGGCTCCTGAATTCTGTTGACTTATTAACCATGCTGTGTCAACCCTCCTCAGGCTGGGGGGCGCTCGGCTCGAATCCCTGGTCCAGGGGTCTGGCAACAGAGCCAGCAGAGTGTGCAATATGAGGACAAATTGGACTGCTGGAGGCTGACACGGTTTGCACAGTGCACTGCTTTGGTCATCTAAGGCTTATTCAGCCAACATCCGTGGGGATTAGCTGTGTTGACAGGGTCTGGATGCCCTGCAATTCATAGCCATGGTTTCCTTTAGTGGACACTGCAACCTCTCCTCCCCGGTGCCACAAATACTTCTCAGCTGCTGGCTCCCCATGCCCCCTCCCCCCACCCGGTTGAAGTGACCTTTCGGTGAGCGTGACTTTGGAAATGCTTCTCCATCTCTCATCGTTTCCCTGATGCCGAGGCCCTGGCCTGTCCCTCATTTTTCACATCTAAAACAATGGAGCTGCCCGCAGTGAGCCTCGGGCGGCGATGAACTGTGACTGTTCTCCAGCTGAAGCTGTTGGGAACTTTCCCACCAGGGACTGGAACTGCTTCTTTGAATGTGCGAATGCCCTGCTACTGGCAGAGCTGGGGGCCCACTGCCCGAAGCTGCCCTCGTACAACCAGCCAAGATGCTCCGCATACCTGCTGCAGCCAGCAGCAGAAGGTGACTCCCTTGCTTGGAGGCAGTGTGAAGTGCAAATCATGGAGCAGTGGGCGATGGGTTGACATGGGCCTGGCTTGGCATTTTGGCTGCAGCACCACCACCAGCTCTGTGTATCTGAACAAGCCATCCGCTGACCCAGAACCTCATCTCTAATGAGGGGATAACAGTAGCCCCTACTTCACAAAATTGTGCCAAGGACTAAATAAAGCAAGAGATCATGGCCCAGAGTATCTTGATAAATGTTCACAGTCACCCCCTGGGAATGATGTCCAGGACTTCTGTGCCGCTGGCATTTGAAGGGCAATCTCAGCTTTATATCAGGAGAGAGACCCTGCAAATCAGTAGTACGAGAGAGGAGGGGGCCCTTATGGAAGAAGCTGAAAATTCAGATTTTGTTAATTCTCAACAGCCTGTCCTTTGGGGAACCCTTCTTCCTTTGGCCACGGCCATTTCCACCACACTGAACCCACTGTATTCATCCTGCCCTTTCCCCAAAGGGTGCTTTCCTCAGCCTACCCTCTTTTATCCTCCTCTCCACCATTTTTAAAAAAATTTATTTATTTGAAAGTCGGAGTTACACAGAGAGAGGAGAGGCAGAGAGAAAGAGAGAGAGGTCTTCCATCCGCTGGTTCACTCCCCAACTGGCAGAAATGGCTGGAGCTGTGTCCATCTGAAGCCAGGAGCCAGGAGCTTCTTCTGGGTCTCCCCATCTGCCACCCATCTCCAGATCCCAGCTCCCACCACCCTGCCAGACACACCCACTATCTGGCTCCTTATCTAAAAACGAAGGGGTTGAGCAAGATGCCCTTCAGGGCCCTCTTTTATGGCCAAAATTGTGTCATTTTGAACAGAAAGTATGAGTAGGCATGAAAGGGACTGTACTTACCAACTTCAGGGGAACTTGGATAGAGAATTTGAGTATGGAGCTGTTTTAACTGTGTCCTGCGGGACCCAGCGATGGTCCAAGTCTCTTGAACTCAGAAAAGATAATCTATGGACTCCATAGTTGAATGCAGGAGGCCAGGACACCTGCAGGGAGCCACCTGCAGGCGGTCAGGGACACCTCCAGTGATAGCCAGGCGGTGTGCCTAAATGAGGCATCCCACGTGCACTGTTTAAACCCTAAAGCAAATCGTAGGCTCTCTGAGCCCCGGCTTCCTATGTGTCTGTCGATAGTACTTCCCAGGGATAAGGAGAATGAAGCATTGTTTGTTAACATGCATGGCACCGATCTGATACAGCCTATGTTCAAAAATGGAATCTGCTACGAGGGGTGTGTGCTCAGGCTCTACAGTGTCTGCGCTGGCTGCTCCTGCCTCTAATTCCAGCACACGGGGGAGCCACCGAGAACCTCCACAGTGGATGGGACCCTGGGAACAGCTGGGCACCGCCCCACAGGTTCTTTGGCTCCATTTTGCTCCTGCTGACTCTAACCAGTGATTAAAGATGGGGCCGCACATGCGAACACTGGAGGGCTCCCGGGCACGTTGAAGGGCTTTGGCTGCAGAGGCTGATTGATTTATTCCATCTGACCTCAGGCGCCAGAACAAAGGGAGGGTGTGTGATCTGCATGCTAATACCTGCGCAGTGCCTCCTCTCCCGTGCTCTCTCCCTGGGGGAGCCAGAACCCAGAGGTGGTAACTCAGCTGTGTGTGCAACGGAGCAGCCCAGGAGAGACACTGAGTGTCAGCCCAGGCCGAAGCCTTTCCTTCAGGGGAGGCCAACCCTGGGAGGGGCTCCTGGCGCCCCGACCTGCATGCGAAGCAGTTACGCCTTGGGAGCAGTGCTGTGGTTGGCATCTCACAGAGATTTCACCAAGTTCGTAAGCTTTTAAGACGTACACTTTTACCCACTTTAAGACAGAATGTTTTCTCATGTAAACTGGTCTACTTAACATTTAATCTCCCTTCAAAAAATATTGACAGTAATTATTAACTCTTAGATCAATGATGTCTTGAAATCTTGCATCTAATGGCTCTTTCTCTCGGGCAATGTTAATACAACTATGTGCAAAGAATGAGTGAGTGCTGGGAAGATATTCCTAACTATTAGGTGGGACAAAGTGGTTTGAAGATTATTATGTATTGTATCATTCCTTGTATGTGAAGAAAGCTATAGGTAGAGGGATTAACCCTACACAGGTACATTGGTTTAGCTTAGGTTCAGAGACAGGGAAGAAACGTTACTAACCTATTAGGGCTGATTATGTGGCGGAGGGGCCAGATGATAATGTAGGAAGAAGGAGGGGCAGTGAACATTCACTATTTACACTTCTGCATATTCCGCTTGCTGCAGCAAACATGTATTATGCCTGTAATTACACACCCACGAGGGAGAAGAGCCGACTTCTGTTCCGTGGCAAGTCGAAGTACCTTTCATTTACTAGAATATTTGAGACAGCTTATCCTCCAGTGACTAGCTGAGTTGTATGTGTAAATATAGCAGGTCTGAGCCCGCCTCTCCTCCCTGCAAGAGGATTGGCCACATAGGTAGCATCTGTTCTTTTCTGCCCTGCGGTCCCAGCAAGTGAAAAAACCTGAGAATGCATTGGGCATTTCCCCCAGGATTCAGGACAGCTTCAGCACAATCATGTCAGAGTTCTCCCACATCCCTGTCAGTGGGCTCCCCATCAAAAGCATGCACTACGGTGACCCAATGCCAGGGGAAGGCAGCCAGGCCCAGGGACAGCTGCAGCCCAGGACATTTGGGGGTGTGGGGCAGGAAGAGGCCCTGGGCACTGCAAATCCACACCGAAACTTCATGTGGTTATGGAGAAAAGTTGGCAGAGGCGCTGGATGACTGTGAGGATATTTCCCCAGGAACAGCGGATGACCAGATGGCGCCCAGGTGTAAGGTTTATGCAGAGCTATTTTCAGGATTTCAGTATTGTTTCCCCCTCTTCTCTCTGCCTTCCCCCTCCCACCCCCGCCACCACCACCTTGGACTTCTCCTTTTGAACTTCGCATCCTGTAAGATGTAAAGCAAGGGAGCTAGGAATGGGTGACAATACTGCCAGTTGTCTGTTCAGTGTGCTGGGTGTCCCAAAGGATCTGAATTCATTCACATCACGCTAGCTGCTGTAACAAACCCGCAATGTCAGTGGCTAAAACACAACAGCTCTTGTCACTGTCTAGTGCAGGTTGTCAGGGGGCCAGACTCCAGGCAGTCTCGTTCAGAGTCCCAGGCTGTGCTGGCCTCTGGGCTTCCAGAAACTTCTCTGTTGGCTGGCCGATGCGGGGGAGGCAAGGACTAGACCTAAAGCGGTACTTGGCATACCTGTTTGCATTCCATCGGCCTGAATGAAATCACCAGAACAGACCTACGGGCAGAGGAGGCTGAGAAGTGTGGTTCAGTCGGGTGCTTTGGAAGAAGAGGTCGGTCACCAAGCTGTTGCAGATCACTAGCGGTCTCCACGTCTGCATCTTATCTACAGGTGACAGACAACTCCCCAGTCTCTAAGCTTCAGATGTCCTCTTACTTCTTCCCATAGTCTCTACAATACCCAGGTAGTAGGCTCATTAAATCCATGCTGAATGAAGGACAGAGGGCCCCAGAGCCCCATCGTTACTTTTGTTATAGATGAGGAAACAGAGGCCTTGAGAAGTAACTTGCCCCACATCTCCAGCACGTGTGGGTGCCCACGAGAGATACGATAATCAGAAACCTGGGAGCCAGCGCTGTGGCACAGCGGGTTCCACTGCCATCTGCAACTTCAGCATCCCCTATCAGCACCAGTTCAAGGCCTGTCTGCTCTGCTTTTGATCCAGCTCTGTCTAATGTGCCTAAGTCAGCAGCAGATGGCCCAAGTACTTGGGTCCCTGCCACCCACGTGGGAGACCATGATGGAGTTCCTGTCTCCTGGCTTCAGCCTGGCCCAGCCCCAGCTGTTGCAGCCATCTGGGAAATGAACCAGCAAATAGAAGATCACTCTATCTCTTGCTTCCTCTCACTGTAACTCTGCCTTTCAAACAAATAAAGAAATCTTTAAAAGAAGATTTTTAAAAATGAGGAAATCTATAGCTTTATTCACTTAAGGCCTTAAGGTCATTTCAATTTTTTTTTTTTAACTTATTTGAAAGGGAGACAGAGACAGAGAGAGATCTTCATCCACGAATTGACTCCCCAAATGCCTGCCACAGCTGGGGCCAAGTCAGGCCAAAACCAGGAGTTCAGAATCCAATTTGGCCTCCTGTGTGAATGTCAGGGACCCAACTCCTTTAGCCATCCCCTACTGCCTCTCAAGGTGTGCATGAGCAGGGAACTTCCCAGTTTATAGTGTGCTACAGAGCAGCCATCGTTTATTACATCAGGATGTATATGGATCTCCTCGGCACCTGAACCTGTTAGCCACAAGGAGACCATGCGATTTGGCTTAGGCAAGGTGGGACTTCCCTAGCACTGTCCTCTGCTGTCACACTGGGCAACTTGAGGTGGCAGCAGAGGCAGCCCTGGCTGCATTTGGTGGAGGTGGAGGAAGGGGGCATTGTTTTTGCACTGTCAGAGCTAGAGAAAATGCAGACTTTCCATTGCTATGTCTTCCTAACCTTGGCCTCCCAGCACTTTTCCTGTACACAAGATGTATATGAAAGATAAAGATGCATTTCAGATAAGTCTGATTAAAGGTAATTAGTGAGCTCATTGTGGCTGGTGGAGTAAACATAGACAGATGCTGGTTGACATAAAGCTCGTGGAAGAAACAAAGGGATCAAGACACATGGCAGCCTAGGAAGCCTGGCCAAGGCCTCTCAGTGACAGGTTGTTTCACTTAGACCTTCTGATTGGCTA